TGCCTGGAGTATGCAAAAAAAAATGCTTCACATTTAACATCTTCAAAGTGATGATGTAATAAAAAATGCTAGCCACAACTTTTCTGACGAGTCTAGTGAACACAGCTGGCACTGTTTTGACGCCAAAAGGCATAAAGAGGGACTGGCAATGGCCCGACATTGACTAAAAAGCTATCATGCATTTCGAGTCTTTGTGCATTGGGGCCTTCCAGTATCCCTTTGTAAAACCAAATTTGGAGAATTAGCGAGCCATTCATAAGTTTGCGAACATCATGTCCACTTGTGAAATAGGCGCATTATCGTTACGACGACTCTGTTGTACTGTCAAAAATCAATGCATAGGCGCATGCTAATGATGTCTCTCTTTTTACTTACAACATTTGGTGACTGGTAAGACGAGTCTGACAGTTCATTGATTTTCTGCACCAGCATCTGCTGCACTTCTTCCTCTACTGCCAGTTGAACAGCAAATGATATAGGGTATTGTCGTACGTTCACTGGCTTCATAGATGTCATGAGTTGTAAAAATAAGCGTTTACTATTCGTAGATGTCATTCACTCTACCAAGTTTGTCTTTCCCAGAACGCCTGAAAAGGTATCTGTAGTCTGAAAGCATTTTCTCAATCTGCGTCTTTTGGCTCATGTCCAGGTTGTTGGTAAATTTGATGTCACAGTAGATCCAATGCTGTTGAAGTGAGGGCCACTGCAGTTCCGATTCCTCTTACAGTTGTTCTGCCTGTACTGTGACAGCCGTGCAATCCACCGTGTCTATTGAAGGCGGTTTCCCCACACACTTTTTGAGAAGGTTGATGTGAAACAAGTTGGTTCGAGTTCCCAGATCAATGACATAGTTGACTTCCCTCTACTTCTCTAGTAGAGTGAAGAAGCCTTTCTAAGTTATAATTAGTTTGTTGGTGTCAAAAAGTAGCAGCAGTAACACCTTGTCTCTGATGCACAGTTGACGAGGGTTCACTTTTCAATTGTAGTATTTCTTTTATGTCAGCTTGGCTTTTTGTAGCTCTTCGTGTACAATTTGACACGTCTGATATAAACTATCACGAAGCTTTATGACATAGTCGTGTGTAGTTTTTGTTTGAGAATCCAAAGTTTTTTGAGCCCATATTTCCTTCAGTATGGATCCATAGGACACCTAATGTACCGGCCATAGAGGAGGTCCAACGAAAAAAAGTAGAGACTCGACTGAGGCACCTCTCTATAGGCAAATAATAATGGTGCCAAATATATGTCTCATTTTGTTGGACTTTCTTGGCATATGCGCAATATTATTTGCTTTAATGTGCCGTTAGAGCGCTCAACAAGACTATTTGCCAGTGGGTGCTATGGAGTAGCTGGCAACTGTCGCAAGAACCTTTAGCATTAAGGTTGAGGTAAATTAGTTTCCTTGATCATTCATGATTTATTGTGGTATTTCAAAGCGCGAGAGTATTTCCACTAACACCTGCGCCATCTTTTTCCACTTCTATGCTTGGTAATGCAACAACGTCATGATATCATGTGGCGCAGTCCACCATGATTAGACTAGCACTATTTCCTTTTGCCGATATCGGTGATAGTGGACCAATCATGTCGATTGCCACACATTGGAAGGGCATGTTAATCACTGGCATTTTTCAAGGGGGACAGCGACTATCATATTTACTCGCATAATGAACTTTGCTCGGAAAATCACAGCAAAGTTGAGAGTGCGGTTATTATGCGGGGCAAGTTTTATGAAATCTTTTGCGGGATTAGCAAAAAATGCAGTAATAAAAAAAAAAAGTTGTGTGGCTCAGCCTTTTCCAATTGACATTTGCATACACTGTTGAAAATGGCTTCTTTGTTGCACTTTACTCATCTTCGGTGACTGATGGCGCTACCTTTTGCAAGCTGTCCCCACGTCACCCGCGCAAGCCATAAAAGTGTTTTGCAGCTATCCTTTCTCGCAATCGTTATTTGCAACAGTGATACCTGCTGTGATCTCTAGGGACACGCAGAAGCATGCGCTACGATGCTACGACGCACTTTGCCAACTTTGCAGCAACCTCGCACGACGGCCGCAAAGCCGCGGTTGACACTGTAGCAAGTAACCAACATTGCAGCAAGCTACCCCCGAAGCATCAAAACAAACCACCGATAACAAGATTAACGACAAAATACGGCTGCCATCTCGCTTCCACATGAGAAATTCCTGTACGCGCGTAGAATAAGCAAAGAGAGAATTGGGAGTGCTACTATGTTGTGGAAATCGTCATAATCTTTCCTGGGTGACGAGCAATTTTTTCTGGTTTTATAAAAACCTGCGACACGATAGCGACACATGGCCCTTCGCGACAGCAAATCCCGTCATCGTCGCTCAAAAATCGCGTGCATGTCGGTTGGCGCAGGCACTTTCATTACCTTCACTCGCTGTGTGCTTATCAGCTGCGACATTCATACACTCGCTCAGTTCGTGAACCTCGCTGTATCGTACGGATAAGAAAGACTGGGATGTGTCGCGCACAGATAAACATACAGCACGCGGCAACGGGCGAAACGGGGGGAGAGAGCGATCGAGCCCAGGTGGCCAAGGGGGGTCGGCGGAATGTAAGGGGTGCGTTTATTATGTGGGGGAAAAAAATTAAAATTTTGAAGACTGATGATGGGGGTGCATTTATTTTGCGAGGGGGCATTCATTACACAAGTAAATAAATACTGTAAGTGCTTTGGCACTGTACACTGGCAGATCTCACAAAAGCACACAAATTGTGCGACTTCAGCCTGCATGTCCAGCCAACAGAATTCTGCTAGAATCCCATCAGTCGGTTTCATACCGTGGTGGTCTGCTACGACACCCTCGTGTGCCACCCTAAGGACAAACTGACAGAGGCTTTTGAGAACATCCTTCGTTAGGGACCCGTAGTGTCGGTAAAGTATGCCCTTGATTGCCAACATACCTCGTTATATAAATGTTCCAAATGACTCCCTGCCAGTTCCCTGCGCTGCTGCGCACTAACAGAATTGCCATGCCATCCTAAACATCACACAGAGATAAATCAGTGCATGTCACAAGGTACCATGCTATTTTTTCTCATATGAATGATGCTTAAACTTACTGATTGATTCTTCGCTGTTTCCGTAATTTTCAACCTCAAATCTGTATGTATGAACTAATTTAAACTAGTGTCATTACATTGAGTGCTGAAACTGAATGTGAGCAAAAAGAAAAAGCAGTAAGAGAGCATAAACCTGAATCCTTTAAAAAATCCTTGATTTCAATACCATACTGTAAGCAATGCCAAGTGGCCTTCCAGGTAACTGTGCAGATTGACTGGATGACTATTCAATGTTCGAACAATCCTTTATCTGCAATCAACACCTCATATTCCTAACTTTGCAGACAGTGCACATCGGTGGCTATAAGAATCTACAGCCATGTTGGTTTGTGCCCTACATGCAGTGGCTCATTTCTACACATTTAATGACCACAGTACATTCAAACCAGTTTCTGAAGCAAGAGTGGCTCTGTATCACCAAAGCCCTGATATTCAATGTGGATAGAGGTATCAAATGCTCACCTGTAAAAATAAGCAAACTTTGTTCACTAGTATGTATTAAAAAAAAACACTAACTGTAAAATATGGCATCACAGATTTTAATACAGAATGAAAACAACAATACCAAAAAAGAGAGGTAGTATGGCAGTAGACATTCTACGTACAACAAGAATGTTTGTAATCACAACATTTAGAAGGGTATACCACAAAAAATCGACCCAATTATTGTATGGTGGCAGTAGTCATGTGGCCCTCTCACACTACATGTGCATCAGGAAAAACAAATTGGCGAAAGGTATGGTACCTATGCACAGTAAGTCGAATGTTGGACAAGTTGGTGATAGTTCATGTTTGCGTATGAATCAGCGCACAGAGACAAGGCACAAAAGAAAATGTTCTGTCGTTTCTTTTTTTTTTTTTTGCCTTGTCTCCATGTGCTGCTCGACATGTAAAGGTGCCTTTGCAATACACAAGTGCATGCAAAACAGTGCTTAGGGATGCAAACTTTTGTACATGTGCAAACATTTGTGTCTGCAGCAAATCTTCTGACTCGAATATTAGAACGATTCATCAGTCAAATGCTGCAATAGGGTACATTACTATGCAATTAGAATTACACGACACGTAGTCCACTCTTGCTTAGGAAACAAATCTACTGATGTGGGAGGCTGAGCTACTGCATACATGGCCAACTGTGGTGATTTCTTACTAGACATCGTGCTAAGGTTGAAATAACACAATTTTTGTTCATGGACATACGTACGCTACAACATGAGCTAATATATATTCCACTTCCTTCCACCTTTTGCTACAATCACCAAGTATTTTTCCAACCGTGTCGATCACCGTCACAAGGTTGGAATTATCACCTATCGTACTAACACAGCTGCGCAGTCGTTCCTGCCTCGTTCTTCTCGCGAGTGGAACCACCTTCCCCCTGAAATTGTTGCTATTAATGACAACCATCTTTTTCGTGATACCGTAGCTAACATTGTATACGCAGGACCTGTTTAATGTATTTTTTGTTTGTACGCTGACTTTTGCTTATATTCGTACTAACGCTGTATTTTTCCCTCCCCACCATGTACCATGTGTTATTCAATGTAATCCACTCCCCTCTGTAATGCCATTTGGCCCTGAGGGTATTATAAATAAATAAATAAATAAATATGTTTTGATGTGATGAGTGAAAGCAAATAGAAAACAATTTAGGCGAGGTGCAGGCCGAGGAACTGGAGTTGTTAAAAAATTATCAAGTTTAGCATCTATGCAATAGTAAAAATAAAAATAAAAAACCGTCACTGTGCTGGAAATGGGCTAAAATTTTGTCTGAAGAGTGCAACATGGCTGTTAAAAGACCAACACACTCTCTTCATAGCACGAGCCCTTATAGGAACACAGAAAACTTTGTACAGCCCCAGCTCCAGCTACAATGATGGTTGCAGTCACACATAATAGAGAGCTTACCCATCGGGAATGGGGTACTTCCGTGGCCGACCACGTTTCCGTATCACAGGAAAAGAAGCTTCGAGACTCAATGGCAGATCTTGGTCTTCAACCTGTCGGCGCAAATTTGTAGTCACTCAAAGGCTAGCTTCATTTCTCTTAACTAATAAAGTTAAAAAACTTCGAGCCATAAAACCAAAAGTGCTGCCGCACTATATTCCCTTCAGCAGTGGTGTGTACAATTGCAAAAACACACTACAAAGGTGCATCACTGCACTTTTACAGTTAACGCTGTTATAAGCTCACAGAAGCAGCCTACTTGGGAGGCGTTCACCGCCATCATCGGTGGTCGTAACCGCTTTCAGGTGAAATAAGAGAAAAAAAAATTAGAAATTTCGATAATTGGCACAAATTTCAATGTAGTTACACAGGGAAGCAATAGAGTATTTTACTACAGCTGGTGCTTGAAGTTTATTTGCAAGAAGACCTCACAAAAGCGTCACATCGGACAAGAAATTGTGTTAACACGTTCACTGGAGCATGATTTTTATTAGTCTAGTTGAAGGTTTGGAGTGACCCACCAGTGGGCCATTGGGTACATCCCCCAGGTGCATTGTGACCAACCAGTGGGACACATGGCTAAGCCTCTAGCTTATGCTCTAATGAGATGGCGCTGCCATCTTTGCAGTGGACGTGCAGTGGGCAATTTTTAGCCGAATTTGAGAATTTGTCGTGAATTCCAGGCCACATGCTGCGGTAGCCTCGACCACCGATCGGCTGGGTTTACTGACGATGCTCAAAAAGTGATGCAGGGCCCCTTTAAAATGTGAAGTGAGGCTTCACGGCAGAGCTAGATCAGTGCTTTTACGGCTTAGCATCCCTACACTGTAGTGAAACCACCTATGCAAGCGGTCACATGCAAATTTATTGCGAATACTTTAAAATTTTCAATAATTTAAATACGAATTGAACCGAATTCAAATACTCTACTATTCCTTCGAAAATTCGAAGCATTCGAATATTTTCACAAGTCTATCAAATACAAAGCGGTGGCCACTAAAGAACACATAAAGTCAATTTCTGCGATAAGTAGAGACCAGAACTTTAGGCACAAAAAAATAATGCTTTAGATGTCTATAATAGGCCCTAATAAATGCCAAAAACTATCATTTAGGCATATATAAGCATAATTCATAATTACTTCAGTAGCGTGCTCAGGACAAATATTCAACTTCTAACAAACACAGCAGGCAAATTCTGTGCTTTAGGAAAGCTAAATTTATGTTTTCCATGAAAAGAAATAGCAAGAAGCACAATCATTTAAACAGATTTAGGTGAAAGCTGAGGCAATTTGACATTGTGGGAAAGGCTATGAAAAAAATGACAAAACAGCATCATCTCAAGGTTTTCGGCCTTGAATTGTGCTTGCTTTCAGTCAGTATTTGCTTTTATGCGAAAAAGAACAGTCGACATCCACTGAAGTTAGTGAAGCGTACTTGTGGCCTAGCACTTTCAATGCTTTAATTTCATCCAGAATATTTGAATCAGCACCACTCAAAACTTTAGCCACTTGCTTTAGCACATACAATCTGGGATTCTTTCCAAGGCAGATTCAAGCTTTGAGGCAGCCCTGTAAGCGACGGCTCTGTTGGGGACGAGGCGAACCTTTCCTGCACGTTCGGGAAAAAAAAAGGGTATCCTTAAGCTTTCTCTCTGAGCGTTGAACGCGATAGTGACCCTGTCCACCGATGCATACTTCCACCACTGTGTATACCTTTATTGAATGATGTTCCTTGACAAGTTTAAATTGTGGATTACTATACAGTATAATCAATAAAAATCAAAATAGCTTGTGTCAGTGAAGCTTTCACATATGGCTGCATTCTGTAATAGGTGCATGCGAGTTCACAGATGTGGATATAAAAATAACAAAATGTATATGTGCCTGTAGAATGACCCCAAAATACATGTTATTCTCGCAGATTCAGGGGTCATTTAAATAAATTGGCAGTTGCATAACCAATTTTGGAAGCGTTATGTCTATGCGTGCTTCAGAGTGGACACCAAACTTAGAATATTGTTGACCTTTCCAATTTCTTCTCCCCCGGCTTCTCACATGGACCGTTTCTCGATCGACAAAGTAGCACTGCGATCCACTGGTCCATTGTCTGAGAAGGTCATTTTATGGCTTCTCTTTATTTCGCATTGCTCAGCAGACTTCGGACAGCTGCCATTACGAAAAACATAAATGCCAACAAAACTTCCGTGTAGGTTGTAGTCGGCTGTGCTAGACTAGCTTAGTTTCGGCTGATTAGCGTACGTTCTAGATACTCTGTAGCCTCCCAAACGCAACCAGTAGCCTCCCAAACAGGATACAGATAATAATAGGCAGTTTATAATGTGTGTGTTTATCCCACATGCTCTGCCAATAAGCCCTCAGCTTTCATTTAAGAAAAGGTTTCAATTCAAGCCCAAGGATTGGTATATTTATGTATGGCAGCAGTTTCATTGACAGATGTAGCTAGCTGGTCTGCCAAAACATTTACATGTTCATCTGGCAATGCCCTGGCACCCAGCAGACTACGACATGCTGTTTGAATGAGTAGACTGTGCACAAAAGTGAGTAAAGTGAGATATAGATGGGTCTTTGCACTTTTTAAGAGTTCTCAGAGCTTTCACCGTGCTTAAGAAATCTGTGTGTATATTACCACTGTTTGTAGTTTTATTTGTTTAGTGTGTTAAAAGGCCGTAAGTATCGCATAAGCCTCTTCTGTGAAAATGCTTGTATCACGATACAGAACTTCGGTATCCGAAAAGGATGGGCTGACCACAGCATACGACACAGAAGTGTTGGACTTTGAGGCATTTCTAAAAAAACTTGGGCCATGTGTGTTTGATGAAATGTGTTATGTGCAGATATGTACAATGAGCACATGCTTTCCAACCTCAAAAAAAGACATCGCATTCTATAGTCTGCCACTTCCACGGTGGCAGACATGCTGCGGGAGCCACCAAATAGTCTTCAAATGCCACGCCGGTCAAGCCACTGGCATGTTGCGAGCTTCGCGGCCGCGCCGTGAGGCGTTGGCACCATCAAAACGGCAACAGCGAACTGTAGGTAAACAAAACCAAATGAAGCCTTTTTTTTTCGAGGATTTTATTAGTAGGACTTGAGAATAATAAGCATAAAAAATCGCTTCTCATTTATTTTAGGCATTTAGAAGCACGCACAGTGCAAATGCATAGAAATTGGAAAGTGATGCACTTTAGATGGCAGTGCGGACCACAAAAAAAAAAAAGAGTCACGACGCACTGCTCGTGATACCAATTACAGAAAATTTACCGATTACTGTCAACGAGGTGTTGTGAAATCTTAAGTTGCACAAGTGCAGGGACGTAAGCAGTACACCCTTACTTACACCAGCAAAGGTTTCGTGGAGTGCTATGGATATATCAGCCAGTGCTGGACAGCTTCTGTGCTCCGGGCATCTGCATTAGGGCTATGCGTAGTACGTACCTTGTTTGCACATGAATGCTGATGCATGCTCACTGCTGCACATGCTAAAATGTTACTTACGTGACCTTTATTTTATGTAAACATCGATCGGTTGACTCGCAATAAAACAATTTATTGCTGCAAGCTTGTGTGATCAGCGTTGTCATTTCGCTCAGCCTGTATGCGGCATCATAACTTACTAAATGAAGTATGCAAGATACCTATGAGCTTGTAGTAAGTAGTTCATTTCAATGTACTATAAGGAAATGAAAGAAATTGAGAAAGGGGGCTGCTGCAGCGAGCAGGGCACAGCCATGAAGTGGAAGCAGATGACAATGGTGTCGTCTGATATGCAGAATGCCAGCTCCGCAACCGGTTGCTGTTCGTCTAGGATCTGTGTCTTGATATGTATGTACCAGGTGGTTGGTGATGAATCCACCCTCTCAAAACCACCACTGGGATCCGCTGAGTAGACTGTTCGTTTCAAGAAAATGTGAAAGTCGACTGTTCATCATCTTTTTGAAAAGTTTACAAAGGCAGCTTATAAGTGCAACGGGCCTGTAGCTTGCAACAGAGGAAGGGTCCTTGTCCTGTTTCAAAATTGGAATGAATAATCTCTTTCCGAGAAATAGAAATCGCGTCAGAAAACCAGATAGCACTGTACAGCAAAAGTAGGGTTTTTTTGCATTTCAGAGGGCAGGTGTTTTGACATTTCTTATACTATATGGTCAAAGCCTAGGGCAGATTTCTTGCAGAAATTTCGCGATGCTTGTAACCCAGCCAGAAAGAAAGGGTCATTGTATGCCTTGTGTTTAGAGGACTCTTACTCTAGTTTTGTTTTTCGATTCTTGTTTTGTGTCATTGGAAAGCTTCAATATAATGGCACGAGCTGAACACCTTCTTGAAGTGGGCGCTGAGGAAGTTTGCCTGGTCTTCCAAGGTTGCCTGGTCTTCCTTATGTGTTTAACAGAGGTAGTGAATATGCATGTCGTCTTGCTACCTTACTAACCACATTCCAGACTTTAGTTTCTTGTGTATATGAATTGATGCCTAATAAAAAACTTCTGCCAGCTTTCTCTCCTAGCTTGCTGGTGTGGTCTCATGCCCCGAGAATTCATGTTCTTAAAGTCTAAGATTCTCATTCCATGCTTTATTTTACTTCCAGCGTGCCTTTCGACACTCACTGTTCCACCGCGGAGCACGATGTTTGCTGACCAGTCCAGGCGTTTGCGGGATGCATTTAATTGTAGCATCAGCCGGAAAAGCTGAAAAGTACTTACGGCCTCATTTATGTTTAAACCAGATAGGTCAGTCCATCTACAACGGGTGATTTTATGGAGCTACTATTCCCAATCGTCTTTGTCTGTGAACCATCTGGCAATGCCCTGGCACCCAGCAGACTACGACATGCTGTTTGAATGAGTAGACTGTGCACAAAAGTGAGTAAAGTGAGATATAGATGGGTCTTTGCACTTTTTAAGAGTTCTCAGAGCTTTCACCGTGCTTAAGAAATCTGTGTGTATATTACCACTGTTTGTAGTTTTATTTGTTTAGTGTGTTAAAAGGCCGTAAGTATCGCATAAGCCTCTTCTGTGAAAATGCTTGTATCACGATACA